TTTACGGTTTGTTAGTATTTTCATCCGTTATATTTGATGTGTTGAGAGCGAGCTTAACATTTCAAAGCCCCTGAGCTTACTTTCACCAGAGAGAAAGAATCAAGCATGGCGTAGCGGTACTTCCTGAGCAAGTATGGGATACAGTTAATGTTTTTTCTCACCTAACATAAATTATACACAGATATTATTTTTTAAAACTTATGAATAGGACTTTTAATTACTTCTATTGTTCGATAGGTGGAAGTAATTAAAAATTAAATAGATTTTTTATCAGATTTTAGTCTCCTATTTTAAACTGTATAAAGTGTGGAAATATTTAAGAAATATTTTCTTTACGAAAATTCTCGGAATTGGGGCAGTTTCAATCTGGAGATCGACAAATTTTGTCTCCTTAATCAGGTATTAAAAATTCATGAACACCGATCGCTTTCCACTTGATCGTGAGGCAACAACAAAAGGACCAATATTTTTGAAGGCCATCATATCATCTTATGATTCAAGCAGAAATCAAACGGGTATCCATGAGTTTTTAGTACCTAATTAAATAGACAAAGTTTTCCGATCTCCAAATTAGAAAAACCCAATTCCGAGATTTTTCGTTAGTAAAATATTTGTAGGTTAAGATGAGATGAAGCTACTTACAAAGTTTTAGGCAGATGTTAATAATTTGATAAAGATGGGTCTGTGCCTAATCTAAAAATCTAGTTATAGAATTGATAGTCAATTTTATCTTCTTTAACTTTGTATATAATAATAATTTCGATAAAATGCATCGTTTGGGGGTCAAGTCCAAAAAACTAAAATAAGTTCGAAAATTTCGCTGTTTTGTATATATCTCGGAACGCAATGGAAAATTTCGTTCGGGAACATCAAATACAGATTCAGCATCCCAAAAAACCAACTATTTGAATTTTTTCCTCATCCAACTACCATCCGACTGGCCTAATTTGATAGCTTTGACGCGACAGTTTTCAAAATGCAACTGAGTACATCGTCAGTTAAGGTGAATTCTCTTTTAGGGACATATTCTTGACATTATCAAAATTTCAGCCGTATGTTCTTCAGCCGTATAAATAAATCATCAAATTTCGCATATTTAATTTAAATTTTCACATAGACAGAAAAGGCTTTCAATCGTAGAACCTGCTGTTTGTTCAGATGAGGTTTATCTAGAATTTAAAATGGTAACTAGCTTTAGATCCTTCCATTAAATAAAATCGTCGGTAGCTTCTAGTCTAGAACGAGTACCGAAAAAAAAAGTATCTTGATGAGTACATCTCATATCACCTCTGAGATATCCAGAGAAACCGGAAAGAAAGTATATTTATTCATAGAGTATGAGAATGATTATAAGTACAGCCGGATGTAATGAAAGATTATTTTTATTTAAAAAAAAAAATCGTTATGGTTTAGGACTTGAAAAAAGAAAATCTTGAAACATTCTCACTACTTTTTGGAATAACATATTTTTCTCGATGTTGAATTTAGATTCAACATTTTTCATCCCAGAAGTATAGGTATAACTTTGAAAAGGCGTAATATATTTTTTTTATTACATGAAAAATTTGACTGAAAAACTTTTTTTAGACTGTATTTGTGGGTACTTCAATATTTGTATGTTTAGTCCAAGCCTGAACAATTTTCTTAAAAGCTGATACTTTAAAATATTATAGCACAAAATTACAATAAAATGACAAAATACACAATTATTTCATTTGTACATACTTTTATCTAGTTATTAGACAAATCAAAAAGTGCGAATTATATCTCTTAAATAATTGCTAAGCAAGTGAAAATCTATGAAATAATATAACGCTACTGTTAGTGCAAAATAGCGAATGTAACAATTTACGTTTATTCCATTTGAGCATAAGGTGAAATTTTGTAATCTACTTAGAAAAATAGCAGAGGGAAATAAAATATGAATTTATACTAATAAATCATAAAGAAACAACGGTTTTTATGCTCTTCTGTAAAAAAATGTTTTATAAACTCTTGAAATTTTTTAAATACGACCTTTTTGCACTAACAGTAGCGATAAGTCGTTTTAAATAAGCATGCATTTACATCGCCTTGATTAAAAGGTAATACAAAATTTTAGCGGATCTAAATTTAATAAGTAGTCCTAGTCATACTTAATTCAAGAATTATAAAATAATATTACAATAAAATATATTAACAATTGGTTAATGTAGTAATATGATTATAGATGCTCACCTTTTCTTCGAAAGCTTGAATCTTGTCACTAGCAAAATAAGGGATACAGAAAAAGATGATGGCCTCCAAGCAAATAAAACGATGATAATCAACTTAAATTATCAAAAACTTGATAAAAAATCAATATAACTAATAATAGGCATATTAAATATGATTAAAACTATAGCGTACGTTAGAACATCCGATTCAAGGAGTGATAGAGAAGCACTGGCTTACCAACCAAACAACGATGAAATTTGAATTATTAACTTCAAAAAATGCAAATAAACTAAGACAAACTAAAAATTAAAAATTTAAATTTGAAATATACCAATAAAATGGTGGTATCTTGGAAGTAAAAGAAATATGTATAATAATATATACAATATAGCAGTAACAATGGTGGACTCATCATCTGCAACCCCTCCCCCCCCCCCAAAAAAAACCAAATTCTGTATTTGCCTACATAAATTGCTCATTACTCAATATAATTTCATAAATGCCCCTAGTTACCCTGTACCATAATAATATTAAGAAGCTTATAGTCGAACTCGTGGAGATAAAATAGTATATGTATATAGTATAAAATAGTATAGTTAGTTAAAATAATGTTTCAAAGACGTTTCTTGCCTAGATGCAAAGAACTCAAGGATTTCATAGATATTTTAGCATTAAGTGGGAATGAAAAGGAACCAACAGTAGACCACTGGATAAGATTCGAAACGGATGATTGGGATCAAGACTTCTTCAATATCCAGGCAGAGAGAAAAGTATAGAGAGGAATTTGGTAAAAGGAAATTTAGAGTTAAAAAAATTTAGTTCCTTAGGAGGGAAATCAATTCTCTTAAAAATAAAATTTTAGAGAAACTTGTTGTGGAGACCATTTCATTACTATCTTTATTAATCCTGGTCTTCCTTTTATCCATTCTATAAAATTGAGATCCAACCTAATCTCTGTAGAGCACTAGTAAACTAGGTTTTCATAAATATTAACCATTGAAATGATGAGGTACTATATTTTTCTCTTTTTACTATTATCTTAAAAGAACAGATTCAGTACATGGTCCTTGTAGTTGTCAAACCGTAATGGTTACATAGTTTGTTAACATTTACCAGCCGGATTGGGGATGTCAAGATTCAATTCTAGTGGCCGCTGGGAATAAATATATGAGAAATAAATATCTGAAGTAGGTGGAAACTGAATCCACAATGCTCTGAACCAGGCACTTTGGAACCCTCATCCCAATGTGCTCAGCCATTACGTCCTCAACATAAAATTATAATGGATACTTTTTATATTATCGTGAATAAAAACCATTGCATTGATAAATTTTCAAGAAAATAGTAATTAATATGAAGTTCAAAGTGAATCTATGTAAACCAGTACAAATTGTAACATATAAACTGAAAATTGAATTTATTTGGTTTCAAAACTTAGATCATGGTAAAAACAGCTTTTGTTACTTCAACTCACTGCTACCAGACATAAGTCTGAAGGACTACTCCTTCTGATAGGTTTGGTCTGTTATGTGGTCTTCTCCACAACTACCTTCTTAATAGGAAGACAAATGGAAGGAAGTATTGTTGTATTTTCTACTCATTCCATTTGTCAGAATCCATAACATTTCCCACACAATAAAATGGGTCTATCAGACTAAGTTCTCCGATATGTTATTTCCATTTTATGATCTAAAACATATTCAAGTAAAAAAGAAAATCTTTCGGTTGTCCTTTCAAAATTGTTTATAGAATCATTGGCATAGCAAACGCCAACTCATCCAACCTTTACTTGAATTAGAGGAAGCCTAATAAATTTTTCATTGAAAATATCACTGATGAATTTGAAAGTAACTAAATCACAAGTAATATATTTGAGTTTATCAGGTGTCCTACAGCAGAGAGTTAATATAGTTGAACCGTTGCTCTAGCTATCAATTATATTAAAGCGGATTTTCATGTAGTGAAAAATTAAAAATGTGTAATAAAAACACAACATATTTAAAATTATGTAATTCACACCTAAAAAACCTACAAGAATAATCTATTTTGATTGATCAGATGTTTCGTTATAATATATTAAACCAAATAGATGATTTGTGTACGTTTTTAGGTGTTTTTTAGGTGCCAATGATTCTATAAACAATTGTGAAAGGGCAACTAAATAATTTTAAATATTTTGGGTTTTTACTATACGATTTTGCACATTTTTAGTTTTTTACTGCTTGAAAATCCACCCTCTAGATTTAATAATAGTGGTCATTTTATTTTTGATTTCATTTGTCATTTGATAGTTTTGAACTTTATTGATTTATGTTCAGGCAGTCATTATTGCAGTTTGCAAATCAGAAGCTGGTATTCAGAAATATTACCCTGTTCTGAAATAGAACTATAGATACAACTGATCATTTTATCAATTTTTGTCCCATAACTTTTATTCTCAATGGAATTAAATAGTGCATGAAGATTGTTTGCAGCTGATTAGCTATATGCAATGCCACATGATGATATCAGATCTGTTGTATCAAGATAAGTGAAATGAGGTGCACCCAAATGCATGGCTATAGTACCCTCATCTAATTGTTATTAAACCAAGACTAGTCTATCAACATAAATATATAAAAGCTATTCCAATATTATTCACATTACATATAAATTTGTAAAAGTACTACATACTTACATGATTCTTTCAACTCGGCAAGTTTTACCTGATCATCACAGCTGTCATGATAAAATCCGTTCATTCAAAAGGAAATTAAATGTAAGGAAGATATTACGAAACTATCCAAAGAATACATCATCCTAAATTAAATAGTCTTTCATTGTTAAATCTGTTTATTATTGCAATTTTCCATAAATAAAATATTTTATATGTACAGGAATCTGAATGAATATGTAGAAGAGGCAAATAACATTTTTTTTTTTCCACAACCTAATTAAGGTACACAACCTAGCTCCAAGTGAAAAACAAATAACCTTTTTATTTCTTTATATCAGTAAAGATAAATGGAGAGTTAAGAGTTTTATAATTCAAAAATTGTGAGATTATACTGGCTATAATGATCAAGAAGTTATTCAAGTAGAATCACAATTTTTTTTAATTTATTTTTTTTTAAATAGTTATCAAATGTATTTCACTTGGCACACTTTAATAAAATGTAAACTTGAAAAAATATATCCATATGTATACTGAAATGTGGATTCCTTCATGCATCCATTATATAGTACAGTAAAAAGTACAACAATGGAACAGTTACGAAGATATAACTATAACTAATAGACGCATGATTGAATTTTCTGAATACAAAATATATCACATCCAAAGATGAAAATTTCATTATCTATTATAGGTGTTCTTCCCATTAACATAAATGGAATAATTGCTAATCTCGTAAGGCTTAGTACACCAGGTCAACATCTGCCTGAAAATAAGATTTTGAATAAGAAAAATCTATAACTAATGAGATTAGCAAGCATTTGATGTATTTATTTTTATATTAGATTTAAACCTTAATTTCAAAACTGAGGTATTTAAAAGCTTTTGAAATCAATATCAACATTCTAATGCAAGATGGTGCTGTCTTGTTTGATTCAATCATGTAGAATAACTTGTTTATTTTATATCATAGTAGCTATTTCCAGAAATATAAATGGTAATCTAATTCGAAGGGAAAAATAAAATAAACGTACATGTTTCTTTGATAGGAAAGCTATATTCAATATATTTTATTGTACTATATCATTTTTTAGACAAAATATATGAACGAAGATGTTATAAGGTTGCACTAGGCCTTACAATCACAATTAAATGTATTTCTACAAGTATTTATAATGGCTAGGAAATCACTTTATGCACACTGTATTATTAGAACACATGACACAGATACCATTATTTGAACACAGAATCCAATCTAAACATACAATTAAAAAATATGAGAATTTTAAATAATTTTAAACTCTTCATATGAAAGTCTCCACTGGAGATAAAAAGTTTCATATAGTAAATAGGTCTGAATGATATTATTTAACAAAATAATAATAAACAAAACGTCAATACAACAGACCTAATTCACTATTAGTAAGTAACATACAAATTAAGCCATCAGAATTCAATTATCGGAGTCAGTTGATTTAGGTTTAAATTATTAAAAACGATTTGTGCTTCTATTTTCTTTCTTATTTTTAAAAATAATATTAAATTATAAAACTAAGTATTAAATTATAAGGAACATTACTGTATTGAAAGTAATATAATATTAATTTCTAAAATGAGTATTCTAATAAAAATATAAATAAATAATACATTTTAGTACAATAAACCATTTAAAACAATAACAAAAATAGTTACAAGTAAATTAATATTATTTTGACTCTATGAAAAGAAAATAAGATAAAAACAGGTGATTATATGCCAAAATAACTATGCAGTTGTACTGCTTTCAAATTAAAAAAATTAAAGAGACAACAAAATTATTTAATATAAATAATAATAAATTTATGCTTAATAAATATGTTATGAAGAAACATAAGTTAATGACTGGGTAATCCTAAGATTTATTTTTTTTTATTCCTCCATTATGAAGCTTGAAGAAAATTACATTTTATTTTCTGATAGCCACTGTAAATTGTATACTATTCATAACTTACTACTAAGACAATAGTATTAACCGATGAATGAATTATAAATGCTTCCGATGGTTGATAAATCAGTCCAAAAACTTTTATTACCGTAACACTACACAAACAAATCCTCGCAAAAAGTTAATCAGAGTCCCGATCAGCAAGAAAATGGGAAAGGTCGACAGGGGAAGCTAGCCCTTTGGAGGCGGCATACTCTATAAGGGCCACATGGCAGAATATGTACTGATCAGGCATCTGGATAGAGAAGGCTCGTTGAGCTCTGATCTTCTCCACTGTCCCTCTCACATCTACTGTTCCGGTCTCATCCAAACGGCTTATACAGATGTCTAATGTACAAAAGGTACCTAGAAAAAAAAAGTAACAAATAACATAAAAATAAATTGTTTTATTTTTACAAATCGAAAAACAAAACAATTAAAAACCTTTAAGTGATCAAGTCTGGGTTTAATTATACAGCACATTGTAGGGTTGTATTTGTTAATTTTATGACCCACTATGCCAGAGAACAACACAGCATTACGGTATAACCTATTTGGACTATTGATACAGTTTGATATATTAAAACCTTTTAATGTATGATCGTGATCAATAAAAGATACCTGAAGTTCTAAAAGTGTCTACTTTAATTAAGTCATTCATAGTACAATCTATGTTAGAAATGATCTTAGGGTCATTTATTATAGTTATCCATCATGATTTTTTTAAGAATAATAATCAGCAAATTGGTACACAGCAAATTGGAAAGATAGTGGAAAGATAGAATAAAATAATATAACATAAAAATTAAATTTTTCTGTGGACCCTTATCTGTCAAGTTCTCTGGAGTTGCGGACAGGGAATCACTACTAAAAGTGATTTCACTATAAGATATTAAATATAAATGATAAGAACCATGGTCAAATGTAATAGTACACTGATTACAGAGAGAAATAAACAATATGTAAAATTTTAAGCAGATGAAAGGAGTAATTATTTTTAGTTAAATTTATGAATTTAAAAGAACAACAGTAGAACTAAAACATTGATAATCTAAAAAAAAATTCTCAATTTTTATGAAATTATTTTCCAATAATTACTAAAATTACAACACACTTTTAATTACGAAAGGAATTTGAAAAAATACCCTTAACAAGCAGAAATGAGGAACAGTATGTTTAATCTATAATAATTATCAATGCAAATGAACATATTAAAATATTCAACAGATAATAATTTAACAATATGCATTATTTTTCTTTTTCATTGGGTTGGCAAATAAGTCCTTTCGGTTTTTCTGTTTATTTTTATGTCACTATGATACTCTTCTTATCAGATGAATTAATTCTTAAAGTGGATTGTTCATCCTGTATGTAATATGTCAACAACTATATCAGTTAACTCTTGTTGAAACTAGCTTAGTATTCTGTTTGCTATTGTACTGTGAATATGGAAGAAAATATCAGTCATTATCGGTATATTTTGTTGTATTATTTTAAAAAAGGTAAGCGTGCTGCAGAAGCTCATAGAAAAATTTGCAGTGTTCATGGGGATGATGTCCAAACCGAACACACCTGTCAAAATTAGTTTGCTAAATTTCATTCAGGAAATTTTGACATCAATGATGCTTAACGATCTGGTTGCCCACATGAAATTGAAACAAGCAATAATAAGGCTATTGTTGATAAAAATCCCACCCAATCAGTGCGAGAGATTGCTATGGCCCTAAATGTATTGCCCACAAGCATAGAAAACCATTTGCACAAGATCGACTATGTTTCCAGACTGGATCCCTCACATGATTTTTTTTTTTGAAAATCACAAAAAATGTTGTAACTTCAATACGACTTCAGCTATCTACAAGAAATTTAGAAGAAATTTAGAGCCATATAAACTACACAAAATGACTTCAACAGGACCTTCGTAAGCAAACTACAAATGGAGGTCAGAAATAAAAACCTATAAGAAGTTTCTCTTTATTTGTTCCTTATATAGGCGTTAAAGAAAAAAACCATTCATACAGCTTTGAAGAGCAATAATTCAGCTTTTTAACGGATATAGTAATATCGAATTTGGAGAACCTTCTGAAGAGTTATGAATGATCGGAAGGGTGCTGTGTTCCATCAAGACAACGCTAGGCCCCACACCTCATTGATCATTCACAATAAATTATTGAGCCTTGGAAGGGAACTTTAGGCCCACTGTCTCTATTAATCAGACCTAGCTCCAAGTAACTATCACTTATTCCGGTCTCTGCAGAACTCCTAGAATGGAAAGAAATTCCAAAAGGAAGAAGACATCAAAAACCACTTGGATCAGTTTTTTAAGAATAAACCCGTCATTATATGAACATGGCACTATGCAGTTAGTGGAAAGATGGGAAAAAAATCATATTAAATAATGGTCAATATATTGTAGATTAAAATAAAATATTATGTCTATAATACATTGAGTTTTATTTCACCCTGAAAAACCGAAAGGACTTATTTACCAACGCAATACTTTTTAAAATTTCATTTATATCCGATGTGAATTTTTTTTTCCTCCTCTTTCTCGCCTTTTAGGCAATATAGGATTTTTCTGGACCAGGTTTGAGGGTGAGAGATTAATATTAGAGTTAGAAGCTCTCCCCACGGTACCAGGACGCTAACACCTAATTATTTTATTATATTATCTTAATAAAAAAGTTGCCATGCAATGAGTGTTTTGCACATTCCTTAGACAGCACAGACACCCAATTAAATGTAAACTTAAGAGACACACTTATTCAAGCATTAATTTTTCAAAAGTTGTAATGCAAATTTCAGTTTCTGTTTTATTGGTATATATATGTACTGCTACTGATAAAAAAACATACTACAGTGTTTTAATAACATTGCCTAACTATCTCACAATCGAGAATCGTCATTATTTATGAATAATAAAGCATTAAACTAACCTGTCCTTCCGATTCCGGCAGAACAGTGCACCACAACCGGAGGGCCTCTCGAATGACCAGCCCAAGTGTCTCCGAGTCCTGAGGTCAATCTCTCCTGAGAACTTCGAACTAATTGTAAAAATCCTAACATTCCAACAGCACTTTCAGGCACACCATAATCAGGCCAGGATGTATACTGAAGATGTTCAACGCTCCTTCTTTCCTCTGTCTATATCAAAAATAAAGTTGTGACAATAAAGTGATAAGTATGACACTCCTGAAAGTTATTATTATTATATATAGCATTTCCAAGCCAATTGTAATCTTTTCCATTTCAAATATAACCATTTCTAAATTAAATTTAACATTTTCCATTTCAAATGTAACCCAACCCTTTAAGGTTAGATTTGAATAAAAGAGGGGAACATTTAAAACGGAAAATGTTATAATAGACTTGGGAATGCGATATGTATATATTTTTAGTATTTTTAAGAGAGTGATCAAATTTATTATGGATATATATTGAAGAAAGAAGATTTAAATGTAATGTTCACACTAATTGTTCTATTTACACAACCTATTTTTGGAAAGATATAAACAAATATTACTGTAGTGATGCTTGCTAGGTGCTCTAATACTTAAAGAAAAGGGTAAAATGAATTAATTTAGACATCTATAACTTTATAATCATTAATGAATATAAGTTTATTCTATGAGCAGAAAATTTAATTTACTGAATATAAATAATTCATCAAAGAGAAATTTAAGGTTGTAACTTAGTACTTTTATTAGATCAATCATAACACTTACTTCACAAAAAATAAAGAAATTGATCGTCATTTTATAAAATAAGTGATTGATCGTCAAATAACATAAAAAGACACTCAACTATTTATAAAACAGAAAAAATCTAGTCTGAAAAAATGAAATTACCTTATTGTTGACTAGATCAAGGACGGAGACAACATAATCAGCTTGCTTGTCAACTGATACAGTTGTAAGTGTAAACTGTCCATACGTTTCCGAACTTCCTTCATCTAACGGCCAGTACTGCCAGCACTTCTGTCTACTTCGCTCCATTACCCGAGTAGTCATAACAACGACTACTGTGCCTTGCTCCCATACCATTCGCCAGAAATCAGCACAGGTTTTAGGCAATGGACCTTAAAGGTTAACATATAAAAGTCATTAAGATCAATATTTTTGATAAATTGAAAAAAAAAATTACATTCTTAAACATGTTTGTATTATATGAAATAGAACGAAACAAACGAATATAAATATTAATCAAAATGTGTTTTGATTACTTCTATAGAATTCTTACAATTGACAAATTTCTAGTCATGAAGCTAATGTGCGAAATAAGACTCATTAATGTCAAGCTAAAACTTTTAGGAGAACTTCATAATAATAATAACAATAAAATAACCTGATATATTATTATTAAAGAAATAACTAACCCAGTATTTACAACTGAAAGTGTTTTTGAAATATATATATTTTTTTTTACTTTCCTACCTATACTAGTTAAGGAAAATATTGCGATCGGATCAAATTTCTGACGGATCTATACATTTCAGAGCCCTCTGAGTCTGAAAAACACATTTTCAACTATTGGTCTGTCTGTGCCAAGATTATCTATCTCAGGAACTACTGGACCGATTTTGTTGCTTCTTTTTTATTTTGTAGAGTTTTGACTACTGAAGCCTGTGACTCAAATTGGCTGCTCCCTGCGCTATAGGTGAACAACAAATTTTTCTCTAGACTGTAGCGCTAAAATGGCGCTAACAATTTTCATTAAACTTTACTTTAATTTTCTAATTAATGTTCTTTCAATTTTTGTAGATGTAGTAAATTCGTGAGAAAATTCAGGGAAAAAGTTATAAAAAAAAAGAAAAATGTTTTGGGACCTAACTCACTAAGTATGTATTCTACGTTAAAATTTATATGAAAACTTTTTCAGGGTAATCAAATTACCTACAAAACAAAAAAAAATTCATCGGAATCGAAGCAGTATTAGCGATGATACAGTATATTTTATTTTCTACACATGTTTTAATTTATTTATTTCCTACCTATACTAGGTAAGGAAAGTATTGCGACGGGGTCAAATTTCCATGGACCCCAAACCCAAGACCATATCTTCGCTTTAAGAATGTTAATCAAGAAAGCCAGAGACTGAAATAAAAGCTTATATCTTGCTTTTCTGGATATTAAAGCTGTATTTGACTCAATATCAAGAGAGGAAATATGGGAAGCTCTGAGAGGGCCAAATAGTCTGTTGCTCACAATAAAATCAACATACCAGGCAACAAAAGGCATTATGAGAATTAATGGTCTGGAATCGAAGAGCTTCCTGATGGAAAAAGGAGTAAAACAGGGGGATAGTCTTAGCCCTCAACAATTCATCATCTTTATGGGCAAAATAAGAAATATTTGTTAGAGAAGAACAGCAAGAGTAGTGATTCGTCTTTGGAACTTGAGAACTATACTAGCACAAATAACGGTATGTCATAGACTTCCTTGCTGACTACACACAACCTCAAGCAAGCCCTAGTAGAGTGAGAAGCAGAACTGGGAAAGAAGGGCATAAATATAAATACCAAAAAAAAAAAAGCCCACATAAATCAAATAATACATATTACTTGCAATAATGAGGAGTTTGAAGTTCTAAATGAGTTCTCCTACCTTGGAATTGTGATCAACAGAAATGGAAAAGTACAACTAGAAATATCCCACAGGATAGGAAAAGCTAATAGTATATACTATTCCATTAGCAACATTGTACAGAGCGGAGAACTGGGCACTCCTGGAACTCATTGGAGAACATCAATGAGAAAAAAACTACATTATATTAAAAACTGCTTAGTAATACATTGATTTACTGAGTTTAATCAAAATCATTAAGAGCCATTTAAGCCCTGTTGGAGAACATCAATGAGAAAAAACCTACATTATATTAAAAACTACATAATAATACACTGATTTACTGAGTTTAATCAAAATCGTTATGAGCTGTTTTTGAGAAAATCGATTATATAAAGTACCACTTTGGGTTTGCCGATTTTGACGAAAATGTTGTTGTAACATCCAAGGATTATAAAAACCCTAAATATGCAATTTCAGTTTCGTACGGCGTTTTGAGCTAGGCTGTTCACATACATACACACACAAACCATTTTGCGGGACTTGGTTATTTCGACTCAGGGGACCTCAAAACATGTATTTCCGTTGAAAAGTCAGATTCAAATAATTTTCACAATCGCAATATTCACCCTTACTATATACTAAATATATAGGTAAGTGAAAGTAAAAAAGGAGATTATATTAAAAGAAAAATGTGTTATTACTTTATGTTAGTATATAAATTCAAGGTGTTTGCACGTAGCTGCTGAATCTTTATCATATGTTAATATTCACCTTGGGTAGAAATGAAGGCATTTTTCTGTTTATAACCATCAACAAAATTTGCATTTATGTAGTCTGATGTAGGGTCATCATCTTCGATGGATAGAAGAACTCTTGAGTGATCATAGCAGAGAACATCAGTATATCGATTTTTTGCTTGGTTCCCTTTCAATCTAAACAAAATAAAATAATATATTAAACAATATTCATCTCTTATATAAACAAATATAAAGTTCTTATTAATGATTGTATATTCTTTTATATGATAAAACCATCATTACTTGGAATGATTGAAAGTTCCTTGGGGTGGCCTGGCTTTAAGTTCAGTATACTCCGCGGTCAAGCCGCCTTTTCCGAGAGTCCTGACTCTCTCAGTGAATTCAGCTAACGTGAGGCCACCAGGACTGTCGCAATGAAGTGAGTCATCGTCTGAGAAACCAGAACTTGCAGAGGAAAGGGCTAATGGTGATGCTGAAAGTAATCAAAATAAGTGTGTTGATGAATTCATGAAATGAAAAATAGTAAATTATTGAAAGCCAATAAGAGGTACACCATGATAATAGGAACAGATCTCAAAGTCAAGATGAAAAAAAAAAATAATAATAAAAAGATTCCAAGAGTTTTTTATAGAGAGGATTGTAAATGTAATTTATTTCTTAGTCAATTTTATTAAGAAGAAGCAACATCAATTTTTTAGTTAAAATTTTATCATTAGCTTGCCAAACAACTAGCTGTAACAACAGTTCATCTTGCTAGATGATTTTAATAAAAGCGAAATTTCATCTAAGATTTTAACAGTGAGTTTTGAAAGAAATGAAGACTATGTACATTCAGCTATATAAAATAAAAGTTAAATGACATAAATTATGTGTCACTAAATATGTAATACAATCTCAGACTACTATAGTGAAAACAATATATATTTAAGCTTTTTCCACAGGATATTTAAACTCATGTTTCATGATTAAATAAGTATTCTAAATATATATAATAAAAATTTCAAGTAAAAAAGTTTATATAAAAATAGATTTTATTTTGATCTAATAAAGATCGAAGTTTTTCTATAAAAACATAATTTTAAATTTACTCTCCAATGAATAACAAATCAAAATTGTTATTTAAAAACAACTGTTATTGAAAAACAAAGCATTCATCTGTAAACAAAAATTCAGAGACAAAACATAGTTTAAAGAAAATTGGTGTGCTTAAGTTGAACTGAATGAATTTATATTGAGTTTATTTTATATATATCGTAGAAATACTAATGGGCTTACATTGTCCCATAGTGTATTCATCAGTTAATTTCAGAAGCAGACAATATCAACTACATTTTAATGGAATCAATTACCATTCTTATGTATAAGGATAAGAAAGTGTAGCTGGTGTGGGGTTAAAAATTGCAAATAAAGTAATAGACATGTTTCTCAAGGAAATTTTGCCTTTTACTAAACTATGTAAATTTGAAACTGTAGTTATAAGACCTTACAGACACTATAGTTGTACACAAATTAATTTTGGAGATAAGAATTCATCGACAGATATGTCTCCAGAAAATAGATAAAATATAATTGGACGATTATGGTGTTTCTTGACACATGATGCAAGGAATTGTAATAGAATGAGAAATCTTTTATTATTCATCCAATAAAGGAAGGAACATTAAAATATATATAGTTATGGAGACCAATGAGATAGCCCGATAAGAGGTCCACTTCCATTTTTCAGAACATACCTAAAAACGGTTAACTATTTGACGGCTGACAATTAAATCATACCATGAATCACAATCAATTACAAAAGTAGCCAAGTGGGTCTGAAAGTATATGGACTATGAAGGCTATGAAAGTAGCTATGGGCTATGAAGACACTTCAAAAAACTTAATTCAATAATGACTATTTACAGAAGTCAATAGTTGACCGTGTTTACGTATGTTCTGAGCAGAAAGTGGACCTCTTATCAGGGATATCTCCTGATGAAGGCTTAGGACATCATATGATGTAAGTGTTTATAATGATGATCCTAACTTCAGACTTCCATTTTCTAGAATAATGGTGTTTAGCAGTTCAAAAGTTGTTCTCACCACAACAGATGAACTGAGAGGAATTTGGCGGCAACAAGATCAATCTTATGAGGAATTAGAGATGGTTAGGGAAATGTGCTGTCGAAGTGTGATACAGGTGAAAATTTATTTGAAATGGATGAGACCAATTATTCCATTGTTTCATCTATTTACAGCATCTGAACTTTCTATTTCATTCAAGAGATATCCTATAGTTGCAAAGAATTGACGAAGGAGAACGATGACCCACAGGTAACGACCTGCAAAATATATTTTACAGCTTTCTGATTCACAAAAAAAAAGCAATAGAAACGTAACTCCGACAACTAGTTTACATCTTTAGAGGTAACTGATGAACTCCAAAGAAGAATTAAAAAAAAAAAACTAAGAACTAAAGGGAACTCTAAGAAAAAGCTAATCTCAGATTCCACCATCACTGATATCTATAGCTTCTGTCGGTTCATCGCGATTCGCCTACCAGAATAATATAATGATAGTTTCATACTTTCCCAAGAGATATAAATAAGTTCATTTGATCTCTTCACTGTCTTTAAGGATAGAAATAAACTAATTGGAAAAACATAAATCAACGTATTTTATGATATGACCAAAATAATTGCAGATCTGTTAGACAAGCTTTGTTACGAAAAAATCACTAAAATAGCTTCTGGGATTCAGTATTCTTGACATTGCAGCAGTAATTGCTTTAATAACATTAAAAATTCCATTTATATATTTTTTGTAAATTAGTTCTTTCTTTGACTGCATATTCTTTTTGCAGATTTTTCATAAATATAACAGCTAATAAGAGATTGATACAAAATACTGATGATTTTGAATGTTTCATATACCTTAGGTTTATATATATTCTATAAAATTATTTGTTCAAAGTTTAATATCTAATTTAATATTAAGTGTATTTTTTTTCTGGTCCAAAATTGCAATTATGGTGTAAGGAGTCAGATACGTTTCAGATCAGTTTGTGTGGCCAGTGTCAACGTTTGTAGAGGAGGATTAACTTTCTTTTTTTAACCTTTAATTACTACCGGGGGTCGAAAATGATCCACCTAAAACAGTAATTTATATGTTTTATAAGATTTGCAAGATATCTTAGATATTCTCACACTACTATGTAAAGCATCAATTGGTCTGGCCTGTAATTGAGAGATTATTTCTACGTTATTTTGGGTCATTTCTGAAGTTGTGTTGCGTAACATACACTGTGAGCATAATTTTTAATCATGACTGAAAAAGGCTTCTACGTCAAAGGAAAGTACTATAAAGACTGGTTAGAGTTTTTGAAGGATGGTAATTATAGAGATAAGATCTAGCAGATGTAGATGATGAAAATGTTGACAAACTAAGTATAACCAGAGATAGTGAGTCGATTTTTACATAATACGACACTGACTCACAAATTGATGAAAATGATTTAGATTTTGACCTTGATGAATAAGATGTTGGAAATGTTGAAAATCAGTAAAAAAAACATTATTCTAATTTTGATTATGGTAACAATTTTTAAATATTCTTTTAGTCAGATCTAATTTCAAATTTTATGAAAGGGTAAAATAAGCGTCATGGGTACTGATTTCTTTATTTTTCAGGATAAGGGGTAACATGTGAGCAATAAGAAAATCCAACAACTGATGCAAAATATTACCTTCCCAACAACAATAAAAAATAGAATTTATAAATTTTTTTTTTATAATACTGTTTCATTTCTAGTTTAGATTTTTTAAATGACATTTTGAAATTATTTATTTCTGATCTATTTGTTTTCCTAAGAGTTCATGTATAAAAAGTATGTCATTTTCAGTAAATTATGAGTCTTTATTAACCTCTCTCTTTTTGTTTTGGTTGTTATTATATAATGGGTCAGAAAAGACCCAGGGTAGTAGTAATGCCTTTTAAAATTATTGTAGTAGTTAAAGGTTAAAGTAGAAATTAATTGGTATTATTAGTGGTTACTAAAATCATTACTGCTATAATTATATCACTATGATCGGACTACCACTCGCTAGACTGGAGAGAAGAACCAAATACCTCATTGGTCAATCTGCACTCACAAAGACTCTTGCTGGGTAAGGCCCCGAACCTTAAATGGAGAGGACCTAGTTGGGGGTTAACTGATCTTTCAGCGAGCAAAGTACATGAACTAATTTAAGCAATAGAAATTTTAAAAGCCCAATTAACCAACTGAGATCTCAATTAATCAATAGGATCTCAAGATCGGTCACATTTGCCTACAATCAGAATAATTTGGCTACTTTCAGAGTTTCATGTACTGTGAGATCTTACAGTGTTTGACCGTGTATTTTGATAACTCTTAAATTATGAAGGTACCAAGTTCGAATAATTTTAAAATGAATTAAATATCAAAGATCACGCTAACACTGTTAAGTATCAAAAATGTTACATCATAAATTGAATAACTCTCCATAAAAAGAAAATATCAAATATTTGAAATTATGAAGAGAAGAATAGTTGGGGTGCTCAGTCAAAAAAGGAAGGCAAAAAAATTATTATTAATTATTAAAAATATTATTTGAAATTATAATGCCCATATAATACTGAGTGGTGCATATGTTTCATACCTCTGTACTTTTTCAAAAATTTTATCATGTATATAAAATATTAACAGAAAACTGTTTCAAAGCATTAAATGAAAAGAAAATGTTACTGCTTCAAACATTTAGTATCTTTATAACTAGTTGAAAGGTAAAAATAGTAAAATTTAATGCAACAAAATTGAATATTACTCACTACTCATTGCTAATTTAACATTTAACATTACTCATTGATAAAATGAATTAAAAATGCCTTTTAATTTTTAATATTTAATATTTTAATTTTTAATATTTAATTAATATTAACATACCATAAAAATCTGGATTAAATTTGATTAACAAACTACTAAAGCTTTAACAGCATGACTACACAATTATACAATGATCGGTACCTTAATATAATATTTTAAACACTATTGAAGTTATGGATGTATACTTCATGAGGTATAAAAAAATACAAATGAAATATCATCACACAAATAATCAAATCTTTAGCAAATGCCTATAAGATAACCATTTTAATAAATAGCTTGACAGCTGTAAATAATTTGAACAACTTTTTTTACATGATGTTCACTTACTAAGTTTTCTCTGTCTAAGTTTTTTTGACTTCTTTGAATTCATTTAAAGTCCAATAGAATATACTGTTTTAAATAAAATAAAATTATAATACTAAATATTTGTAAGCTAAGAAGCATAGAAATAAGTATCAATACAACACATGTTCCATTAGTAATTTTTGATTTGATGATTCTACTGAATAAAAATTTTAGATGTGTTAATTCAAATGATGAAACATTATTCTAAAATATTTGGAGGCAAGCCTCCTAGCAAAATTGGGAAGATTTTCAATGAATTGTGGACTATTATCAAACCATAGTTAATTTTATTATTTATTTAATTCTATTTATTAATTTACTTCAATTAAATTAAGGATTTATTGATAGAAAGTTCGTAGAAAAATAATAAAATAAATCAATTTAAGAAATGTGGCAATGAATCAGCAAAGAGCTTGATTTTGGTCACTGTCAAAATGGAAGGGCAAATCGTAAGGCTTTACAGAGTACTCTATATGATTCAAGTTGAGATTATTGCTTCTAAACCTAGCTAATAACTTATTGTTATCTTTACATTACTGCCATAAGCACTGATTATTTTTCTATCTGTGCATTTTTTTATTCCTTTCAGAAAAAAATATAACATTACAAACTTATCACAAATTGTATTCCTGAACTTGTAAAACATTATTCTCTGAAGAAATAATATAAAAAACATAAAATCTCACAATGTTTTTTTTTTCTTATGCCTCTTGACTCTTCAACTTCCCCCATGAATCTTCTAGTAGCTTTTGGGACTGTTATTAGTGACAGCTGTGATCGTTTGGTTCTTTTGACGAATTCCATAGAGCTCGTTTTTTACAATAACTGGACGCGAATACAATCACTCCCTCTTCATCAGGCACATTCCTGAAAGATGGTTGGCAATTTTTTGTAGAAATCTCTATCCTGTTTTTCTATGAGCTGTGTGTCTTACACACAGAGGTTGTTCACCTCCCTGTGAATCTCTGGGTGGGCACGTTACATCCCCAAGCGGGAATCGAACCTGTACTGTAGTGGTCTATGCAATAGAGTAGGGCCTGCATTTATTTATTATTAATTATTTTTATTTTTTATTTTGTTATTAAATAGCCAAAAAGGATTTGAACTCATGACGTGCTTTAACTCGCTCAATCACTGTGACCCTAACAGTCGTCATCTCACAATGTGAAAAATACTTCAAACACATCGATGATTTATCTCTAAAACTTTGTAAGTATATAGAAAGTGAAGTACACTTACAACGTTTTAGAATTAAACCACCGATATATTAAAACAATTATTGTAAAACAAAATATTAAATCTTGAAACATTTTCTTAAGACTTACCAGCAGATTCGGTAGTGGGTTGCCATGATTCTTGAGGCTGAACCTCTTCAGCTTCTGATATAGGCGGTGATTCAACCTCATTTTCAATCTGCAAAAAGAAAAAGTGATTAAAATATAAAAACTTTTTTTTTTTAATGCAGAAATATTTCTCATAATAATGTGGGCAAATAAAAAAGTATGGCATGCAATTCATCATTTCTTTGAAATTCAGAATTCTGTTAATCATGATAAAGTGAAAATTTAAATTAACTTATATTCACCGTTTTGTTTAACGTAAGTGCACCATAAACTATTTAACACAACATAATATTAACAGCCCATGAATTGTTCTATGTAATTAGAGAACCTCCATTATTTTTGCCTCAGAGGACTTAGTATAAGTTCCGTTAGATTCTATGATCCCTGTTGCGCTAGATTGTAATAATGGTCAGCTCAGAGTTGACAATTTCACCCAAATTTCTTTCCCTACAAAACTCTCCTCACAATTTCCTTCTTTATTGTTAAATCACTAACTCTAAAGGCATCAGTGGGTTCTCGTGAAACTAGACCCTAGCCCTCAGACTTCCGCCTAACTTCCCACAAAACAACCCAAAGTCCAAACAATCCCTTTTGTCCGAGCTTCCAACTTCTGGATTTCACTCCCAATCCCCATTTATTATTCTCCTGGCCTCCGGATTTCTAAATTCTTTGTCTTCATTTCTTCAATTTATAATATATAAATATTTAGTTATTGTTTAATCTAAATTTTTATAGATATCAGGTTTTAAAAATTAGAAATTGTATAAATGGACTTTAGTAACTGTTTTGGTTTCAAGATAATAATCACTAGGTGCAAAAGCTTTAGAATAAATATTATTTTGTTAATATTCACAGTATAAGGTATTTTATTTTTAACAGAAGTATTTAATTTTATTCAGTTTCTATTAAATAACAAAATAAGCTTGCAATTTAAACAAAGGGAGAAAATATTTAGATCTTACAAGTTAAAAAATTAACACAACAACAAAACATCTAAATGTTGTAGCAATTTCTGTTAGAAAAATACCTGCAAGTTCACATTACCTCTTTTTTTATCTAACTAATGAGAAATAAATTTGAAAATGCTGAGCTATTATTTAATTGTAGTGCAAAAAACTTCCATATATCATTTCATTATTAAAACATTTTACCCACCGATGTTTCGGAGATCTTAAAATAATTTGATTTTCCCAAGGAATAGAATACTTTTTATACCAATACTATACTTTTGATATTGTATTTTATTTATTAAGTACTATTAAATATTTTACCTGGTTTATAGCAAAGGGATAAATCAAAAATATTGTAAGGTATTTATTTAAGGTAATAGTTAAAAGTCTTTCTAGAAAAAATGTAAAGTAGATAGTGATTTTTAGAATTCATACATTGGTGATAAAGGATTCTCGAAAATGTCCGGTGTGTAAAATGCTTTATTAATAAAATGACATGATATGAAACTATTTTTTCACAACAATCAAAAAACATCTGCAAGATTATTTAATTATTAGCTAATGATAATAGTATACTTTACAGTACTAATGACTGATAATAATATAATTATACTACTGATAGCAGATAATGATATACTTATGATACAATTAATAGATTATAATACACTTACAGTACTGATAGCAGATAATGATATACTTACAGTACTGATAGCAGATAATCGACTGGGACTTGCCCTGTTGGCCATGGACTTTGCACAGTGGAGTAACCAGGCATTGTGTGCCACCTGCAAGGCACCCCCAAGACCCACAGGCAGGCTCTCCCTTGGGATGTGAACGCTTAACTAGAAAAATAGAAAATATAGTTTTAATTTAATTAAAATGATACAGTAAGTTCTGTTGATACAGACTAGATGAGGCCAGAACCGATCTGGTTCACTGAAAGAGCAAATTAAACGGAATTAGCTTTAAACAGCATAAGATAAACATAATTTTTTTCACCTCATAACTAAATCCTTTTCTCCAATACTATAGAAAGCATCAGTTCTCTAACTTAGAAAATATGCGCAACACTCTTATCGAACTAAAAAAAAATTTTTAGCACTATTGTTGGACATAGCACAATTACCCGTAAAGCAGTAATTGAATAGAATTTGTGCCATTTTTTTGCAATACATATAAAAAAGAAAAAAAAAAACACAGATAATTTCAAATTTGATAATTTTTTTTTTGTTATTAATAGATATAAATTTATGTATTTTTAGAATGACTATTCACTCAAATGACAATTTTGATCATAAATATTGAATATTGAAATTAAATATTAATGCAACAAAATCCCTGATATTAAGTATTGTACATAGTTTGTGAATAGAACAAGTGTATATTAGTTTGAGAAACCCAAACAAAAAGTATTGTTAGGTCTTAGTTTTCAACATACAAACTGAGATTATGTTAACTAAAAATGTATTTACTTTACAGTACCATAAAACAAACCTAGGTACATTACGTTTATATTGTAAAAATAGAATAAAAATTAAATTTTGAATAGAACTATAAAATAAACCAATTTACATTATGAAATTAAAACAAGAATCATATTTTTAGACTGACTGAAAAAATCCATGATGTTCTTACAATTAAATGTATAAAACTTAGTCCTCAGTCAACATCATTTCATTTCCCTAATTGTCTTTATTTGTCGGTACTGTTTTCATAGTAGTCAAATGAGTAAGTGAAACCCTCTATTTAAATTATTTTCACACTCACTGCTAAGTTAAATATTAATAAGCGTAGTTTATTTTTTTTAAATCTCATTCAGATTAACTAAATATCTAGAGGGACTCGACTATAATTAATACTAGAGTATTTTATATGGCTAAATATTTTCTCCAAATAAAGATAAAGTATTTAATTCTTTTTTTTTATATAATAAAAAAGAATTCCTTAGAAAGTTAATATTTTCATAATTTACTTCAATGATAGCCAAACAAGTAGTTCTTACAATAAATAATTGTGACTGAAAGAAAAAAGAACAATAACCAAAATAAACAATATCTGATAAAAATATATTTTTTTAAATTCAAATTTCAATAGCAAGAGGAATTTCTGTCTGTGTTTCTTAAAGTTTTCATTAATTAGGTAAGGTTTTTGTATAAACCAATAGTTTTATTATTAATTTTTTTTTTAAACTCTGAAGTATTTCACGAATATTTTTCTTATGAATTCAATTCATTTAAATACAACCAAAAATGTAACGAAAATTAAATATTCTACATACATGCAATTATATTTATTGATAAAAAGAAGATTTTAAAATTATTATTATTATTATTATTATTGTGACATCTAATGTAATTTAAAAAAATTAACGTATAAGGAAATCACCTGTGGTAAGCTGACAGTGAAAACCCTATCCCTCAGTTTTTCCCTGACAAAGAGCCGAAGGATTTTGAAAGGTGCTTTAAACCATAACGGAGCAGTTACAATCAGTACCTTCTTTAATTTTGCAGGATAACCACCCTTAAACAATACAAAGAAAAAAAATTAATTAAATAAATAGTATTATAATTTAAAATAATATAACACTATAAACAGAATATTAGCCAAATTTTAAAAATTCTTTAGCTAAAATTGAACTATTCTATATTCCAATGAAACTTAAAAATTAAAGCTTACATAGCTTCAAATGAAAATGTGCACAATAAATAAATACAAATAATTTGAAACATAGTGTCAATCAATTACACTAAATGACATTATAAAACAGTGTTGCCGATATATAAATAGTTTAATGTAATTTTTCAAAATTATACATTTAATGAATGATATATTTGTATGTTATAACAGTTATGCAGCTTATTTTAAATTAATAATATACAAATTGTATCATTACATCTATAATATTTTTATATATGAATATAGTGCCGTAATATATAATTTTTTTTAGATATTTAAATCGAATCACATGAAAATATTTGAACAAATCAAAATAGGATATATAATTAATAATAATGCTACAACACGGATATCACTGCTTAATGAATAGTAATACCATCAGATTCGACTGAGTGGACAAACGTATGTAATCAAGAGTCCAAATCATATATTAAACACATGCCGAAGATATAAAGTGTATCGCAGATGCAGCAACAATATGAAGTGGTATGCAAGATTATATTTGCATAGAGAAGGAGAAAACATATAGGTAAAAGCAACGTGCGAGGAATGAATATGAAGATGAAAATGGAGCTATGTAAAGACTATCCAAGCAAATCCTAAACGAAATCCATTAATATCTGATTTAAAGAGAAGAAGAGTAACTCACACCGTAGGACGTGGATCCGTGGGGTCGGAAAACGCCGATATGGCGACGCGTGCGCCCTCGTTCCCTCCCTCGAGGTACTAGCAACCCCCGATAGGAAGCTAATTACCCAACGACCTTTATCAAAGGGACCAGTTGCCAATCGGGCATCCTCCTTTATAGCAATATTAATTTCATACCCGCAAAAGTATAGGGAAAATAAAAAAAAAAAATGTACTTATCAATTGAAAAAAAATATATAATTTTATCCAAAGAGCAATTCAAAGTTTTAAAGAAATAGACAAAAGAACTACAAAAATAACCCTACCCAACCTAAGGAAAATGTAATTCCATATGTATTTAAATAAATTCGTAGGTTAAGTGAAGTTGACGTCTATGAAGATAGAAACTTAGCGTAGTAGTAGGGTGCCTTACACCCCCTAACGAAACTCTCGACTCGATTATATGTTGACATGCACTGATGCATGGGAAAGAATCTACTAACCAGAAACTGCATTAGTAGTACAGTATAGTGTAGTAGAGCCGTTGAAGGCACCCTACTATCCTACTACTACACTGAGTTAAATATTCATAACTTCAAGCAGTGGGGTATTCGAGGGGGAAGGGGGCTTCAGTCCGAAAGCTTCCAAAATGGGAACATAATTTTTCATTGATCCATGTGAGTGATCTAAGCTCAATAGTTAAACAACAACAATTTTAATTCTGACATTATCTCCCTCCCTCACCCTGGTCCGGGAAAAATACCCGTATAGCCAAAAAGTGGAGGAAGAGGTGGACAAAAAAAGCAAACAATCGCAATATAATTTTTTTTTAAATAAAGCATATACAGCTACTTAATATAAGCACGAATAAAAAAATAAATAATAAATTCATCTCTAAAAGCATTATTGCTTCTGTAATTAGGTTTGTTTTTTTTTAGCTGAAAGGACTACTTAAACATCATTTCATATAGATAGTTTTTTTTTCAGGGTAATTACCGTTAGTAAATAGAAAGTTGTCTCAAAACTTAATCCTGGATCCATTGCTGACTTCAAGTACAATCCCCTAAGCATAACGAATCCGAAATTTGATTTTTTTTTTTTTTTAGTAATTACTCTAAAAACACTACCTACATTAAATTAAGTTTAAGTAGTCGTTGAAGAAAAAAAAGGCTTAAATTTTGAAGGTTTTTTTTTTAACGGTAATTAACTAAATAGATAGTAGGTAGCGAAGAGAAGGGTGGTTGGGGTGATCAGTCAAAATAAAAATGACAAAAATAAATAATAATATTTATTTTAATTTTAACTGACTGGATAGCGTATGATGTAATATTTATTTCCGTAGACTTTTAAATTTTTGATTTTATTTTAATGTTTTCAGTATCACTTGAGATGCCTCCTGAGCACTAACGGATCCAGTATTTAATTTTTTTTGAGAGATGGAGGCTTCAGCCTCAAAGATCTTTTTTTTAGATGAATATATTAGGATAATTACTTCGGGAGAAAGAAAGAAAAAAATTATGACTGGGGGCGGGATGGCCAAATGGGCTAACGCTTGTGCTGAGCACCGCGATTTGTCTGGCAACCAGATAACAGATATGAGAGATTAAAGAATTAGGAGTTCGCATAGCCGGTATAGCCTAAAAGGCGAGGTAAGGAAGAACAGAAAAATAATAAAAAATGGTGTTTATGTGATTCTTTAAGTCCTATTAAATGTAATTAGACGAACAATACTACTTTTAGAGATAATTTTTTCATAAAACGTGGTTATATTTTACAATTGGTTTTTTTTGGGGGGAGGGAGGGGGGAGACTCCTCCCCCTCCAATGCAGATCCGCCTGTGCTCCTAAATGTTCTAGCTGCAAATATACTCATTCTTGCACTATCTTTTGGGCGTAAAAAGTCTATTATCTGCTAATGGGTTGAAAACTGTCCATTACTGATACATTTACCTTATATGTACGAACACATTAAGTAAGTATATCCTTAGTAGGAACCAGGGCAATGATTTCAGTGATATAGATAACAGGGAGTGAACCAGTGAAATGGATTTCAAGAGCAAATTAAAACAATGATGGACAAAGAAAATACTGGTTATTTGTTTGACACAAAATAAACCAGTTCGCGTCGAATATCCAGAAACCTTTCCAAACAATTAGAATCTTTTTATTCTTCTTTATACATGAGAATTCAGCCTTGAAAATACTTTATAATGTGTATTTAACTTTTTTTTATATCATAGAATAGATTTTATTAGAATATGCATCGGGCAAAACCTCGGATAGCACAGACTAATTTCAAACCTCCTTCAAAATGAAGGCATTGCCTGGAATATTTTTGAAGAAATATCCAGTTAACGCGAATTTCGAATAATTTCAGACAATGGTAGGATAAGCTAACATGAAGTTATTCCAGGTAAAAACATGTAGTAAACAGTTCTCAGTACTTCCTCACTGACCCACTCCTCTGCCTTTAATAAAAAAAAAATTATACAGGATACAACCAATCGCTATCAACATAATTCGAACCAACGCCAATCCCGCTGAAGATCAGCCTCTATAATAATAATAATAATGATTTATTTATTCTGGGACAATTTCCTTTAGAACAATGTACAGAGATCGAGATGCGGGCTTTGAAGCCTCAGAGAATAATCACAGAATAAACAGGTTGATATAATGAATAATAATAGAAACAATTATTATTTGCCTTCAAACTCAATTAAGAAAAAAAAATGAAATGAAGGTATTTAAAACAACTAATTATTTATATACATATTAACAACATCTATTTAACATTTTATGAGAAACGAACGGACAACAGATGATTGAACAGGCGCGGGGATTTAAAGGTGGGGAGGATATTGGAGTGACGGATGTGGGAAGGGATAGAAATCCATGGAGATGAGGATCGAATAATGAGAGATCTGACGAAATATAATAGACCAGGAGCTACTGACAGTTTCATTTAAAGAAAAGACTTCAAGCTATTAACTATTAGATATTCTATAAACATTTCAACAAGAAAATTTAAATTAAAGTGCTAGATATATTAGATGATCCATGTAACAAAAAAAAAAGATGGCTGGCATTCGATATGATGTTAAGTATGTTTTCCTAAAAGAAAATTTTTCCTAAAAGAAAATTTTTCCTAAAAGAAAATTTTTCCTAAAAATTTATCTTGACTGACTATGTACGTCCATTTGCATTTTGAAAATGTACATCAAAGTTTATCAAATTAGTTGAATATACAAAAAATTCAACAGTCGGTTTCTCTGCGGTTTTATCTTCCGCAATGCTGAATCTTAATTTCAAGTTAATAAACAAAATATATCGCAACATTCTGAGAAATACGAAAAAAAAAAAAAATGAAATTTTCGTAGTTTTGGGCAATGACTTCGAAATTATGCATTCTGTCGAAACTCTAGTGCGGCTGAATGGCCCAAATATGCTTCCGATTCCCTGAACCTCAACAGTAGCTTAACTTCTGGCATATTAACGTCCCTTAGTGGGATTTATAGTAAATCTATTGCTCTTTTAAATTTGATATAATGCATTTATTCAGAAAAATTTGACGAAAACATATCTCTTATTATGAAGTACGTAAATAGTCAACTTGCTCTAACACCTCACTTTTTGAAAAGGGAGACAGTTCTTGCTTCAGAATCTGCTTGATAATCGAAAAACCTTTGCGGAGATATTGATGTAAAGAGAAACAAAACTGATACCCTACCCTCCCCCCCCCCATAAGACAGGCGTAAGTGAATAAGCAATAGTTATTTTATCTCACGCTAGGTTAATACAAAATCAATTTTTTTATTTCTCTTCACGCTTAGCATGAGATGAACTAAAAATCTCAAATTCTTTGTTTTGATACTTCATGCCTCTTTGCTTTCAACCCAACGAGTTCGTGATCATAAGGGGACTACTGTAGTTTTATCGATAGCATATTCAATAACCGGAAAAAAATTGACATTTAAAAGTAAATACAATTATATAGACTAAGAATAACAATCAGTGAATAGTATAACGTTCGCTATTCCTCTGAGAACATTTAAGTGGGGCTTAAACTGTAAGACCCGCACGGAACTTGTAACTTGTTATCGGAATAGATAACAGTGCCACCAAGAACAAAGTAACAAGGTTTATCCAAAACTGTTAATTACAATTAGCAATTTTCGCAGCATTGTTAATATTTTAAAACAGATAAAATTTTAATTA